TAGTGTGAGTTGTTGCGCGTGTACATTGGAGGTGTGCATGGCGCGATGGGCCGCGGACTATGCTAAACTAACTTGAGAATGGCAAGTTGGACCATAGGTAACTTGAAGTAGCCGACCTTCTAACCATCATTCCCTTTTTTATAAATTTGCATTTTTCCAGCTTGCAATTTAATTCCATACCTTCAGACCGTCAGCTAGCATAACTTTCGCACAGGTTAAGCATTCAAAGCAGACGCTTACATATATTTAAAAGAGAACGCTCTAGAACGCTCCTCGGTGGAGCCCTACTGGATACGAGTTTCCACTCCAGTTTGGCGTCCCCAGTACAAACCAAAAATAAATTCTCCTGCTCGCGTCGAGTGAGAGTGGCTGACTGCTAGACGCGTGTCATAACTGCGCCTGATTCTCGCACGTCCATCGATTGTATTGATCGATTGCTGGTGGTTGTTTAACTTGTTCTCGCCCTCGCGGGCGCATACATGGGATGTGTCACATCGTTCGTGTGTGTTCTGAGCGTTTCCACCTTCTTCGCTCGCGGCTGCTGGTTGTCGGCCCTGCGTATTGTTCCGTTCTGAGCAGATGTTAGCCTTTCACGGAGCGCTTGGTAGGCAGGGTGAAGGTCTATGGCTCTGTTAAGTGTGCCCATCTAGAACCAACGTTTTAGCAGCAACCTGGCCATCTTTTCATTGACTCGGCCCACTACCTTTGCTTTCTCAAAGGCGAAAGTGTGATTATTCTGCCGTACGTGGTTATAGACCATAGACAGTTTATGCTTGTGGTTGATTGCCTGTTAAAGCTCATGCAATCTTATGCCAAGGCGTCTGCCCGTTACACCATAATACCTTGCATTGCAGTCTTGGCATTTTATGCAGGCGACCACCACTAATTTTTTTCCCACGGTAGGCGTCTTTGACCCTCATGCTCTGCTGTCTGATGGTTGACTCCGGCCTACAAGCAACACCGTTCCCGAATGGTTTTAGGATTCTTGAAGCCGCCTCCGATACATTCTTAACATAAGGGATTGCGCTCAAGGTGGAACTTCTTAAACACTTGCGTACAAAGGACTTTGGATAACCGCTGGCCTGAAATACGGCATGCAGGTATTTAATCTCTTCCTTTTTCCCACTTTCGTTGCTGCAGTGTTTCCGAACGCGTTGGAAAGGGTTCTAACACAACTGCGTTTTTGACCAACGGGCTGGTTTCTTCTGAATTGAAGGATGTGCGTGATATTAATTGCCTTGCGGTAGACCGTCGTCTTTATTTTTCCGTCTGCCAGTTTTGTCATTTGTACCTCGAGGAAGGGTAACAGATTGTTGACCTCTTCCCCCATAGTGAACTGTATGTCAGGAAAAATGGAGTTCAGCAGTGTCTTGAAGGCCTGCACTCTTCTTTTGATGATGACGAAAGTGTCGTCGACCTATCTAGCCCAGAACTTCAGGGGAGACGAGCTGAAGACCAGCCGCTCGAGCCTC